GACATCGCTTTCCAACGCCTCAGAGAGAGATTCACATCAGCTCCCATACTCACCATTCCAGATCCCCAGCGCCAGTTTATGGTCGAGGTTGATGCTTCCAATGAGGGAATTGGAGGAGTACTGTCTCAACGATCTGTAGAAGACAACAAGATGCATCCATGTGCTTACCTGTCGCGGAAGTTGACAACAGCAGAGCGGAATTATGACGTGGGAAACAAGGAACTGTTAGCTGTAAAAGCTGCCCTTGAGGAATGGAGACACTTGCTAGAGGGGGCAGAGCAGCCGTTTTTAGTCTGGACAGATCACAAAAATCTGGAATATATAAGAAAGGCTAAGCGTCTCAACTCCCGTCAGGCCAGGTGGACACTATTCTTTAGTAGGTTCAACTTCACACTCTCTTTTCGTCCCGGGTCTCAGAATCAAAAACCTGATGCTTTGTCTCGTCTTTACGATCCAGAACCACTTGCTGTAGAGCCCAAGACCATCCTTCCACTTAACCGTGTGATCGGAGCCTTTTCCTGGCAGGTGGAGTCGGACGTTAAAAAGGCGAATGTCATGGATCCTTCACCTAGCGATTGTCCCAACAATCTGCTGTATGTCCCTGAGGCTCTTCACTCCAAGGTCATCCACTGGGCTCACTCATCTGTGCTTTCATGCCATCCGGGAGTAACAAGGACAATGTTCAGGATTAAACAACGTTTCTGGTGGCCAGCCATGAGGAAGGATGTGGCGGAGTATGTAGCGGCTTGTCCGGAGTGTGTGTGTAATAAGACCTCGTCTCAAGTCAAGATGGGCTTGCTCCAGCCGCTGCCGATTCCCCAACGTCCTTGGTCACACATTTCAATGGATTTTGTGACAGGACTTCCTTCATCCAGAGGCAAGACTACGGTCCTAACAGTGGTGGATCGATTTTCAAAGATGGCTCACTTCATCCCATTGACCAAGCTTCCCTCTGCCAAAGTCACCGCAGAGGTCATGATGAATCACATATTCAGGATTCATGGATTCCCTGATGACATTGTTTCCGACAGGGGTCCACAATTCGTTTCTGGAAGGAGTTTTGTCGACTCATAGGTGCCACCGTCAGCTTGTCATCAGGATATCACCCTCAGTCAAATGGACAGTCGGAGCGTCTGAACCAAGAACTAGAAACAACGCTACGTTGTCTCGTCTCCCGGAACCAGACCACCTGGAGTGACCACCTCACATGGGTCGAGTTTGCCCACAATACTCTTCCTACGGCAGCCACAGGTCTCTCTCCATTCCATTGTGTCAATGGTTTCCAGCCTCCGCTTTTCCCTAACAACGAGGAAGAGGTGATGGTTCCATCGGCTCATGCCATGATCAGACGTTGTCGCCGAGTTTGGGCTGGTGCTCGCCAGTCTCTTCTCCGAAGTTCAGCTCGGATGAAGGCTGTTGCAGACGTCCATCGCCGGGTCGCTCCCTCCTACAGACCAGGCCAAAAGGTTTGGCTTTCCACTAAGGACTTACCACTCCATGTTGCCTCAAAGAAACTGGCTCCGAGATTTGTGGGTCCTTTTCCGGTGTCCAGAGTCATCAACCCGGTCTCTGGACGCTTGCAACTCCCCAGGACTATGAGAGTGCATCCAAAGTTTCACGTCAGTAAAATCAAGCCGGTGTGTGAGAGCACACTTGTTCCCGCCTCCAAGCCCCCTCCACCGCCCCAGTTCTTTGAAGGGGGTGAGGTTTACAAGGTCCGTAAGCTACTGGAGGTCCGTAATAGGGGGAGGGGAAAGCAATTTCTGGTAGACTGGAGGGGTTACGGTCCTGAGGCTAGGAGCTGGGTAGCTGCTTCATTTATCGTAGACAAGACTCTTATCCACGACTTTTACAATCAGCCTGGGCCATCAGGAGTCGGCCCTAGAGGGGGGGGGGTATTGTTGTGCACCGACAGAAATGCTAGAGAGGTTCAGGTTCACTTTGTTTTATGTTTGTTTTCTCACTCACCATTTATCTCTCAATCCAGGCTTCCTGATTGTTTTCACCTGGCATCCTTTCTGTGTCTCCAGTGCTCATCAGCGTCAGTCTGATTGTTCCCACCTGTTCCTCATTATCAGTGGCGGCGCCAGGGTATGCCTGGGGTAGGCCATAGCCATACCAGGAAATGGCTTAGCCCTACCTTAGCCCGACCATGAAAAATGATGCTAAAGTAAGCATGTTGAGAACACGGATTGCGAAAATCTACCGGTCGTGTCCACAACACAGAAACTGATACTGAAGTGCACATTACTAACGCAATATGGTTGAGACCATTCAGGCTTATGCTAGAGGGGTGTAAGGAATAGTCTAAGTAGTGGGGGAGTTTTATAGACTAAAGGTGTGGAAATTCTCTCGCATATCAGCACGGCCGCGGTCAAATCAAAATGCCTCCGAATGCAATTTGAATAGACCTACAGCCAATCAGAGCAACGAAACGTTGGGTCTGCTGCGTCATGCATTACTGATACGTCACGTTCACAGTGAAAATTCCCCAAACTCGCGCCGAGTAAATTGCAGACAGACAGCAGAACTTCTAGGATTAATTGTATATTTCGGATGGATAGATTTGTTCTTAAACGCCCTCGCATTGAGGTACAACAAGTCGAACAGGCGCTTTAATGCGACCCTACAAGGATGCCTTTACGGATTTACACAGACTCATATGCATTTCCCTGACTCTGCCTGTGACCTCTGCTGGCTGCGAACGCAGCTTCTCCTGTCTCCGTCGCATCAAGAATTATCTAAGAAACAGCAGTGGTGATGCACGGAACAGCAACCTGGGCCTGCTGGCTATCAATAAGCAGAGGAGTAAGGCACTGGATGTCCAGCGTGTCATTGACATTTTCGCTTCCAACCACAACAACCGGCGGATCGTGCTGCTTTGAGAACGTCAATAGTGAGTTTAGAATATATTTTCTAATAATGGGTCATTTGAAAAAGTGTTTTGTATGACAATAGAGACACAGGCCACCTGTTGTGTGCTGTACCTGTCTCTCTCTGTTTACCTGTGTGTGTCTGTGTCTCTCTCTCTCCCTCTCTCTGTCTGTCTGTCTGTCTCTCCCTCACTCACTCTCTCTCTCTCTCTCCCTGTCAGTGTCAATTCTATATGCAAACTTTTCTTTTTTCTGCCGCTGTAACGTGGAATTAGCAGAATAGGCTATTGTATTGTTTAACTCACACCTGTTGCTCTCGATGTAATTTAGCTGATAAAAGGAGGCTAATAAAAGCCTCACGCGTGGCGTTTCATTGTCAAGGGGTGCGATATAGCGTGTATGTAATTACACTGCTCATTATCATGTGTTTAAATTCCCCTGCCTCCCAGTGTTCCTCGTCAGTTCGTATTGTCTCTTGCTATGGTCAGGTCTATGCTCCTTGTGCTTTTGAAAAGTTTGATTCCGCACTATGAGCGCTTTCATTTTTTGTTCTCTATTTTTGTCATCTCGGCTTGAGATTTGATGGTTACCTTTTTTCGTTTGTCAATGCTGTATTTGGAAAATAAAGTATCTTACAAATACTTTACCTCTGTCTGCAGGGTCGTGCAAATGGGTCCTACATCCTAAGTGTCTGAGTTCGTAACAGTGACTTGAAGAGTTTCATAGGTTTCATATCAGTATTTAGTGTCTCCACTGTGACGTGTCTCCATGCTCAATGTTCAGAAAGTTCTTTATTTTTCTCATACTGCCTGTGCTGCAGCACCTCTTTTCACCCTCTGTCTGAAACCAGAGCCCAGTCTGCTCTGATTGGTTAGCTGCCCTTAACCGCTTCGAGATGTTTCGCCCCTTAGCTTACAATGTGTTGGAGCTCTAGCCAATAGAAATGCAAGTGTTACATAATGATGTCACTGTTACGGAAGTAAACAAACGTACACACTATAGAAAAGGGAAAACCCCACAATCATAATGGGGCCCCTTTAAGCAAAACGTTTGTAAATAGATTAGAAAGGTTAAGAATATGTGTAAATGAACACAATAAAGAGTATATTTGAAAAGTCAATATATACAAATATTATATTACTGTATGATTTTGTTGGCTCCAGAGTACAAATTAAACACTAAAAATAGATAATTTGGCTCAAACTGTTCCCATTTATTTCCCCTTACACGATGAACTACTGTTGCTCTGTAAATTCACTTTTCCTCTTTCTGTTTCTCTGTGAAAGCCTCTGAGACTAGCTTGTGCCAAAAGGCAGTATAAATAAATGAACTGTAAAAAAGTCCCATATGTACAGCTGCTTCCTGTCTCCTCTCTCCTTCCAAACAGAAGATAAACATGTTGGAAGTGCTTTTTCCATCCGCCACTCTCTCCATCTGTCGCTGCACAGAGCCTGCCTCAGCTCTGCTCAACAGATCCCTCTCTGAGCAGGACAACTTTAGAACAATCCTCCAAAGGTTAGCTCAACTGATCTATCAAGATTCAAAGGCTTTATTGTCACAGTAGCTACAGTGTTGTTATGGCATTGGAAATCTTAAGTCCCAGGTTCAATACAAATAGTGAAAGACTATGTTGCAAGAACAATGTGCAAGTAATGCAGATTATTTCAACTTTATACATCCAAGTTTTGCACCTAGTACACAAAGCTATCTGCATGGCTTTACACCTGTCCTACCAATACTGCACATATTGTACTTTATATATAAAGGTATATCTATATTTAATCTGTATTTTGTGTAAATATTGCTATATTTTCCTGTTATAATATTTTTTTCCCGGTTATTTTCTTACAATTTAACTCTGTTTATGTATGCACCATATACACCAAGGCAAATTCCTCGTATGTGGAAACCTGCTTGGCAATAAACCTGTTTCTGATTCTGATTTTGACATGACAAAAGAAATACAATAAGCTAAAAGTTGCAGTGTGATTGTAAATGGCTTGTTGTGGTCATGATTTTCCAATATGTGGGTCACTTTTAACTAGAATAAATGTATTGTTAGCCAATGTTCCCTGCTTCAGTGTTATCAGCACAGGAATGGCCTGAGCGGGGGGGCGGGGGACAGACCTGTCATGAGCAGGAGGCGCAGCAGGATCATGTGCAGGCTCATGGTGCTGGGGAGGGCCAGAGCCAGCAGCAGGGCCAAGCTCCCCAGGTGGAAGAGGAGGTGGTGCGCCTGGTCCCATTCTGTGCAGGAGGTGCTATTCAGCTCCGCAGCCGGGATCCCTGGAGAGGCGGAGGGGAAGGAGGGCAGCGTGGTGAAGAGCGGGGGCAGCGCCGGGGTGGAAGACATCCTGCGGCGGGGTCACCTTGAAAAGTAGGGTGAGGTTGGAGAGAATGTGGGTAGAGGAGTGTGAATACAGGTCTGAAAAAACCTGCTTCTACTTGGTACAGTATGCTCCACATGTAACGCTCATTACAGATATTATCACCTTATAAAGTTGTTATGTTAAACATGTTAGCAAACTGTTTCCTTTGGTATGCCTCCAGCAGCTTTCAGTAACTCCACCTGAAGAATGTGTAGTTTTAAACATCCTTTCAGTCGTAGTTCAATCGTCACAAAAACATAATTTTCTTACTTTTGCAACATTCATGCAGCAGAAAGGAACATCGGATCATACCAATGTGGGGGGGGGCGACTCACTAATTATTCCTCCTTGTTGACCCACTAGCCTTAAAGTCACACCATAATAATTGCCTTTTTGGATCTTTTGATACAAACCAGATAAAAACAAACAGTGTAGGCTTACGGCTTAACAGAGTTAATTGTATATGTTGTATATTTTTTACAACTGTCTGAAGATATCGCATCGAATCATATCGAAGCTTTTTACTTAACATAAACATTACTTATTATTTTCTTTAACTATCATATACTTGGTAAAAATAGTTCATGTACCCAGAAGTGTACACTTACTTAACATAATTGACTTTACTTTACTTGAGTACTTCCATGTTCATGTACTTCTACTTGACTACATTTCAGATTGAAGTGTACTTTACTGCATTGCATTTATTTCATACTTGTTACCTTTTACATAAATACATGTGTTTATGATATATGTAGTACCAGCAATGTGCTCATCATTTGCTCCATATTGACAAATTACAACATTCTACAACTCTTATATTTCTAATGATAAAAACAGAATATAATATTCCATAATAATACAACACATTTATAAGATACATTCTGCACCATGAGTACTTTCACTTTTGATACTTGACTTTCACATTGTAATGGAGTATTTTAAGACTGTGTTAGTACTTTTACTTAAGTAGATGATCTGAGTACTTTTTCCATCACTGCATGTCCCAGTGTTCCTTCAGATACTACAATAAGCTGCATTTAATGATGAATTGAAGGAGATCACATATTTCCATTGTGTTTGTTATTTCTCTACGTGGACGACATACCATTCTCCACTGTGCATGTAAGAGTATCAGCTGCTGTGTTCCTGTCTGATGTGACGGGGCTCTCATGTTATAAATAGCAGTGGGATAAACACCCAGCTCCTCAGAAGAATATCTTACAGCTTCTACTTTCTGACGGTTCTTCAAAGTACAGAGAGGAAAGCGCTACTCACCGATCAGCAGCAGAGCAGGAGGAAGATCTCTGGGAGACTGAAGCAGTGAGGGGTCTGTAGGCTGGACCCTCT